TCTGAGTTCTGGAATATTGCTGGTGATAATCTTGGCACTGTATGTTTGTTTTAGATTTTCTGTGATGAGGAGAAGCCAGCTTGCTTCTATGCTGATATTTTGGAATCAGAAGTTCCTCGACAATTTGTATTTTTAATGCAAATTTATAGTAGATACAAAAATGATTAACTCATACAACTGTTAAAATACTATGAGAATGTTAACATAAATTTGTATTTCTTTGAAATTTGCTTTTTATAGGTATTACGGGTATCTGAAACAAAGCACCTTCAGTTCTAAATCTAACATTGGATTTTGTTGGAGAATCTGCAAACTTCCTGGCAGTAAGCAAAGACAGACATGTGCAGTGACAGGCTGTGAGACATATGTAACATTGCTGAACTCTCCTAAGGGACCAAGCTTGCTAAAGAAGCTGCATGTAGATTCCACCCTCAGAACTAGTGATGCATCAAACCAGAGAATTTCTGCCAGTCAAATAAGCATGCAATATGGTTTCTTTGGAAATAAGCATTTCCCAATCCCCAAATACCCCTCTATACAGTTAATTTAACAAAGTAGTCAGACCTCTTATCATAGCAGCCAAAACTTCAGCCCATAAGATTTACTATTATCAGCCCATACATTTATTATTACCAATAACTTCCCATTATAGTTTGTGGATCTTTAGCATAAGCATGTGTTTGTAACAGTAAACAGCAAAATAATTAATGTTGACAAATATAAGAACGACAAAGTCAGCCCAAAATCTGATAATCATGTCTAACCAAGTAATAATGTTTTAGCAATAAAATTACAGGATTAGTCTGTTATCTAAAAATGTATAAAGTAGGAATATGAAGAAATGACAACAGCAAGATTTTTAATTTTAATATTAGACAGTTCCACCGCACTTCTGAAGAATAAACCCAAATTCTGGTGATTGTTAAAACAATGCATCAATTTTCAGGGAAATATTTTTGTTTGTTTATTTACCAGATATGTTTTAACTTTGTATTGCCCAAATTATGTTAAACACAGATGTGTAATATAAACCATCAGTATCACCTAAAACATCTTGTATTTATAACGTGATGTATAGTTGGTCGATTACATTGCTATGCTGCTTAGTTTTAACTGGTTTATTTTCATTGTAGCAGAAGAAAAGTGAATTGAAAAAAAAATTATATGGGTTTGATAATCACAAATGCACAAATACCATTTTGTAACTCAACAAAAGATAGAACATTCTTCATCCAAAGGCTTCTTGCTTGATGTCAGATTGTCACATGTGACCACTCTGCAATGTGAAGCCATGCTTCTTCAGTGCACAAAGTCATGTTTAAACTTGGAAAAGAAGATGCTACAGTAGTTTCAAAGATCAGTATTGTGGACCCAGGAAACGTTCCATAAGTCTTGCTTGTTCACAATGTGATTGTACAAAATACATGTTCTTAAGGAAATAACTTATGTAACATTTGCTACTTTTACTTAAAGATAAATAAATCACATTGAAAAGATAAAAGGTATTTTTTTCCTTCTTTATTAATGTGTAAAAATTAGGGAAAATTCTTTTTCTAGGCTGATGACTTTTTCACTCATGCATGAAGGCATTACCATTACAATTTAACTATATAGCTCTGGTTAATTTTTCTTGTAAAGAGCCATGCTATGTAGGATATATAGACAATATCCAGAAAAGTAAATACATTTAATATTTTTATTGAAAAAGAATAATCTTACTAAGATGTATGCTATTTGCTTTCTTAAAAATGCTACTTGATAATGTAAGTTTTACTGACTAAAGGTAAATAAAATTACCTTTGCAAAATGTAACTGTATCATTCACCTGGAACTTGTATGGTCTTTTCTTACAGATTTTGAAATATGTGATATCTTTGTAGGTAATAGAATAAACGTATTTTTGATTCATCTTTGCATATTGGTTCTAAATGAGTTACAAAATAAGAAAACTAATAAAACCAAAGAGAGTGCCCAGCAAGCAATTCATATACATGTATGTGTCTATATATATTTATAATGTATTCACATGTATAAGACTTAAGAATATAATTAAAGCAGAATCTTTAATAAGTAGGGAAAGGAAGGTTTATTCAATAATACTGAGACAACTAATAAATGGAAAAAATTGTTATATCCCTACTTCAAAACATATTACATAGAAACTTTCAGACTAATGAAAAGCAAAAAATGGACTCAGATGAAAAAAATTTCAAATATAAGAATATGTTTATGTTTTCTGAAGAAGAAATACATTTTCAATCCAAAGGTAACACAGCCAAAATGCCAAAGAAAAAAAACATACTAACACATGAGTTCCTACATGGATGTTCTGTGATTTTCCTACACAGAGGTGATCATTTCACTAAAAACTTTACCCCCTATGGATATATGACATGGTCAGCGTTCTCATTAGTTCTGTGACATCATCTTTCTTGTGAATGTTTTCATGCATTTATCCATTTTTCCAGCTTTATCAATTTTTTTATTATAAAATCTTTGTATTGATGCTGTGCTATAGTCTTTCTTGAACAGTTATTGTTTAATGACATAATTTTTCCTGGACCAGCAATGTACAGGAAGTTTCATGGATGGTAGGAGGCTCCAGGGTTTTCTTCTGGGCTTTAAACCTTGCAAACGCCCTTTCTTTGCTGTCACAGAGACCAGTGATCTTGACTGGCTTTTCTGGGAAATGTTTTTGTGCATTCCTGCTTCCTCTAGTTCTCTGATCCAAGCTGAATGTGGAAGGGTTTCTGTGACCAGCCCTGTACATTCCAGGCCCGTCAGGACCTGTAAACAAAGGGCAGAATCCTTGGCTGGGCATGCAATATCATAAGACGTGTCTTTACTTAAAAATAAAATAAAATATAAATACAAAAATTAGCTGGGCATGGTGGCCTAGGTCTGTAGTCCCAGCTACAGTTCTTGGGAAGCTGAGTAGGGAGGATCACTTGAGCCCAGAAGGTCAAGGCTGCAGTGAGTTATTATGGATGTCATGGGTTTTGGCCCTATAAAGATTTGCTAAAAATCACTGAAACCATCTTTGCAAAAATCATAACTGAGGAAATTATGACAGTGAAAGAGATTAGACCTAACTGACCCCATCTTCCTTGTAACCTCTAAACTGTCTTTGTTCTTTCCTGGGCAAAGGCCGAACCAAACTTGGGAAAGAATTTATAGTTTAAACTCTGAAACAAATTGATAATAAGCCCTTTTCTGAAAAACCGCTTCTTGCCTGGTGACCAGTCTGCTTTTGTAGAACTAACAAATTAGCTACAAGATTAGAAATTACAGTTTAGGGGCCATGCAGTCTCTGGCTGCAAGAGTCTGAACCTCCCCAAATTGCTCCAGGGAATAACATCACTATTACAAAACTTAAGATCAGTGTTGAGATATTTTGCAGACCCTGCATTACATTGCAGCAGATGACAGCACCCAGACCAACAATCTGGCTCAACCAGTTCTGCAATCCCACCCAGGAACAGCAGTCAGCAAGAACTCACTTTGACCCCCAAAGATTTCATCTTCAACCTGACCATTCGGCACTCTTCACTTTCTAAGCCCATACCTGCCAAATTATCTTTAAATGATCCCGAAGGCTTGGGAAGACTGATGTGAGTAATAATAAAACTCTGGTCTCCCACACAGCAGGCTCTGCATGAATTCCTCTTTGGCCATAGCAATTTCCCGTCTTGACAAATCGGCTCTGTCTAGGCAGCAGGCAAGGTGAACCCACTGGGCAGTTACATCACTAACATGAGGCAGATTGGTCAATAGTAGAAAAAGCATGCAAATTTATTAAACATGTATACACAGGAATCTTCGGAATTGCTACCGGTGAATCCATAGGGGTCTGCAGTAACCTCAATTTTTGCCTCCTCAGAAGAAAGACTTCAACTGAGGGTCACAAAGCAGAAGAAGAGACCGAGGCAAGTTTCAGAGCAGGAGTGCAAGTTTATTGAAAAGCTTTGTTTAGAACAGTAAGGAGAGGAAGGAAAGGAAAGAAAGAAAGTACAACTTGGAAGAGGGCTAAGTGGGCAACTTGAGAAACCAAGCTCACCTCTTCCCATCTTTAATATCGTGACAATGTATCCAAACCTATCTTTTGGCACTTACCACTTTTTCAACTAGTATTAAGTAGCGTTATGTGTATATCAATTCCTCTGATAGTGTTTGACTGTTCATGTCTGTATGAGTGTGTATTTATACTTGTTTATTTATATACCCTTGATTGCCAAAAGAAGAAATATTGGCAGCAGCTTGCAAAGAAACTACTATACTGGTTAATATAGGTGTTGTGATTGAGTTAAATTTGAGTTTCTGAGGTAAAACTTATCAGTTTCATAGTTTATTTTTATTTTTGGAGATGGAGTCTTGCCAGGCTGGAGTGCAGTGGCACGATCTCGGCTCACTGCAACCTCTGCCTCCCAGGTTCAAGTAATACTCCTGCCCCAGCCTCCTGAGTAGCTGGGACTACAGGTGCGCACCCAGCTACTTTTTGTATTTTTAGTAGAGACATGATTTCACCATGTTTCCCAGGATGGTCTCGATCTCTTAACCTTGTGATCCATCCGTCCTCCTTGGCCTCCCAAAGTGTTGGGATTACAGGCGTGAGCCACCGCGACCGGCCATGTAAAATTTTACAACGGACAATCATATTTGCTTTCCAGCACATGTGGAAGATGTTGGCTATTGTTACAGACTAAAAATATCATAGAATTGGATTTTACTTCTGTTTCTGATATGTCCAAACATGATACCTTTGGAGAAAATACTTCACCGTTTTATTTGTCTCCGTTTAGTTAATTATAAAATAGGGATCATACCACTTACAAAATTTATACTTGAATGAGGTATATCAGTGTATATCAGGTATCTATATAAATATATGTATATATATATAAGTGTGTGTGTGTGTGTGTTTGTATCAGGTATCTGTCACATGGTGGATTTAAGCATACCTTAATTCACATAAATCTCTTCTAACAATGATTTTCAATAAAAACTCAAGGGCGTACCACTAAGCTTACCCACGGTGAAAGTAATTTTACAAGGGGCAAGCAAATATCTGCAAGGTTCATACCCTTCTGGGAGTTTGGTATAAACCAAAAGAACACTTAAGTAGCTGGCAGGGTAGAGGGAAGACAAGTCTTAAAATATTTTTCTTGAAGTTTGCCCAGGAATGAACAAGGGCAGGTTGGAGGTTAGAAGCAAAATGGAGCAGATTATGTCAGATCCCCTCCACAGTCAAAAGTTTTCTCACTGTTATAACTTTTGCAAAGACGGTTTCATTTTCAGGAAGTATACTTTTGTTGATGTGCTCTGAGATCTACTATTCAAGAAGTACCTTGACATTCTCTTTGCATTTTTTGCCCAATTTAACTTCTAACAGCAACTTTTAAAAGTCTTTGGATTCTGCAGATTTTCCGTCACTTACATCGCTAAAAATAGCAGACTGGGTATTTTGTTTTAACTGCTGTTGTTCTGTTTCTATTTCTCTCTGTTGTTTTTTCTTATTTCTTAGATGAAAGTCTAATTGCATATTCATATGGAAAAGTTAGATCCAGTGCTGCTACTGCAGGATTGCTGGTAAAGATGACTGCTAAGCTAAATTAGAATCAGAAGAAAAATGAGTATTTCTCACTCTATCTCATGTCATATTTGGCATAACCTTATACTCAATCATTACTCATTCATATGAAATTCAAATTTAACTGGGTGTCCTATCCTTTTATTTACTAAATCTGGAAACCCTATGATATGATGAAGACTAATGTCATTCTAATTCTCATTGTTTTATTCAGAAAATGTTTCCTTATTCTCTCTGAGGCTCCTTTAATTTTCTCTTTCCCCAATACAGTAGAATTTGATGGAAATGTGCTTTGTTGCATATCCTTTTTTATTCATTGCACTGAGCACATGATGGACGCTTTCAAATGGGATACTTATGTCCTTTAATTCCAGGGACATATAGAGATATAGATAGAGACAGATATTTCCAGTATTCCAATTAATTTGTCAATTTAATGATAATATATTGATCCTGTTGATTTCTTATCTTTATAATTTGTTAATCTCCTTGCTTCTTTCTTTTTTCTGCTTTCTGGAAGATTTTATTATATATTTTCTAGCCCATCTATTAAATTATTTAATTCACCATCAAAATTCTAATTTCCAAGAGTTGTTTCTTATTCAGTGATTATTCCTTTATCATAAAGTAATAGGCTTATATGTACATGCTGTATTGCTATAGACTGGATGCTTGTGTTTCACCCCCCATCCCTCTGCAAATTATACTTTAAAATCTAATTCCTAAATTGGGGTTATCTGGAGGTGGGGTCTTTAAGAGGCTCTGCCCTCATGGATGGAATTACTGCCCTTACAAAAGAGGCCCCAGAAAGGTCCCTCACATTTTCTGCCATGGAGAATGCAGCAAAAAAACAGCTGTCTAAGAATTAGGAAGCAGGCCCTCACCAGACACTGAATCTGCTGGCACCTTGACCT